CTCCATTGATAACATTTTTGGAAAGTTCAATTCTGATTTTTCGATGATTTTCTAATGAAAGTAGTATCTTAGCTCCATTGATAATATTTTTGAAAAAATCCATTTTGACTATTTACTGATTCCTTGAGGGAAAAAAGCATTTTAGCTCCGTTGATAACATTTTTATCTTTAAAAAAACTCGGTGGTCGCATTTGGAATGGCTCGTGTTTTTAAAAAAACAGCAGCAATTTTTCAGAAGCTTCTGCGCTCTATCGATAAAGACTTCTTACGTTTTTTTTTTTTGAAGTTTATCAAGATTACTGAATTTAAAAAAGACCACAGCGGCTTCTGATCTGTATAAATAACATTTGAATATTTTTGAGTTGTCTCTTTTTCATTTTTGGTAACTTTCGAGTGGAAAAAGCTTCTTAGCTCTATTGAGAACATTTTTTTAAAAAGTTCAATTTCGATTTTTTTCAGTGATTGTTCAAGTGGAAAAAGGCTTTTTAGCTCCATTGATAACATTTTTTTGAAAAAAATTCAATATTGGTTTTTTTCAGTTATTTTTTTGAGGGAAAAAAAGCTTCTTAGCTCTATTAAGAACATTTTTTTCAGAAGTTTAATTTTGAATTTTTTTAGTGATTTTTTTCAAGTGAAAGTAGCATCTTAGCTCCATTGATAACACTTTGAAAAATTCAATTCTGATTTTTCAGTGATTATTTGAGTGGGAAAGCATCTTAGCTTCGTTGACAAAAGTTCTTACATTTTTCTGTTTTCATTTTTTTTTTGCCTTTTAAAACGAAAAAAGCATCTCAGCTCCATTGATAAAATTTTTGAAACCTTCATTTTTCACGAAATTCCATTTTCCAGTCATTTTTCCCGGCGAAATGTCGGCTTTTCACGGGGCCGATCTCCCGTTTTCATTTCATAATAACACGGTGTCGTGTGACTCAGAAAAAAAGGGGGGGGATAAAAAAAGTGCACGCGAGGGCGATATTTTGCCGCTCGGCTAAGGGGGGCAAAAAGGCAGAAAAAGGAAGAAACGAAGCAAAACGCTTCCAAAGGGCGATGTTTTTTTCGTCTTTCGCTATTTTTTTGGCTCTTTTTCGGAAGTTTTTGAAGTAGATTTTTGAAATTATTGAACAAATAGCCTCAAGAAAAAAAGTGAAAAAGTTTGAAAAATTCATGAAAATGATTATAAAAACCATCATTATACGATTTTAACGAACAATTTATCATTGGAGCGCAGAAGCTTCTGAAAAATCGGCGGCTGTTTTTTTCATTATATTTCGAAAGTAAAAAAATGGAAAAAGTAGTAGAAAAAAAGACCCAAAAAAATGATTGAAATAAAATAGATTTCATCGAAAAATATAATTTAGGATTGAGAAAAAAATTGTCAATGATCCATAGAATAGGAACACAGAAAAAAATTATTTCAATTTTTCAAAAAATCGGAAAAAAATTATAAGAACCTCGGACTTTCATAATTCGAACCGGACGTAAAATTTCTAGGGATCCCTTAAGAGTTCTGACGCCACTAAAGTGGTCCCTAGAAATGATCAGAAAATGTCCGCTTCGCATTCCCTTGAGAAAAAAAAATTATCCTTGGAGCACACTTGTGTTAACATCTGAAAATATTTTTTTCGGCCTTTTCATCGTAAAAAAATTCAAGTGCTTCATATTTCAAAAAGAGAAAAATTTAAAATTTATAGGAAATTTGGTAGATTTCTCATCAAGTTATATTGAAGCTTCGGCATATGAATTTCATGATGAAAATACAAAATGGAGTGAAAAAAAGGGGAAAATGGCTCTAAACCTGATTTCAATCTTAAGGTGAAAGGTGAATACAGAAAGAAAGGAAAAAAATCAAAAAAATGTGGAAAAATGACAAAAAGAAAAAAATTCGAAAAATCAGCTTTTTTTCTCCATGGAGCATAATTTCCTAGTTCTTTTAGCAGAGCCATTTTTTAACTTTTCATAATTTTAGTCCAATTTTCAGTTAGTAATATAAAAATGAAGCCACAAAAAAAGGAAAAAAATCAAAGAAATTTGAAAAAAAGATGGAAAAAAAGGTACATTAATATGACAAAACGGAGAAAAGTTCAAAAAGCAGCTAATTTTTCTCAATGGAGCATAGTTTCCTCGTTCTTTTTGCAGAGCCATTTTTGAAATTTTCAACTGATTGATTTTTCATAATTCTAGCTCAATTTTCAGTTAGTAATATAAAATGAAGCCACAAAAAAAGGAAAAATCAAAGAAACTTGAAAAAGATGGAAAAAGGTACATTAATATGACAAAACGGAGAAAAGTTCAAAAATCAGCTAATTTTCTCAATGGAGCATAGATTCCTTGTTCTTTTAGCGAAGCCATTTTTAAGCTTTTCAACTGACAGATTTTCATAATTCTAGCTCAATTTACAGTTGGTTATATAAAATGAAGCTACAAAAGAAGGAAAAATCGAAAAAAATGGGTAAAACTGTGGAAGAAATTAAAATCAGCTAATTTTTTCAATGGAGCATAGTTAGGGACCGCAGACGAATTTTTAAAAATTTTTTTTCAGCATTGAGCTTTGTATGGTTTGATAGCTGTATCGATTCAAAAACTCAGAACCGTTTAGTTTTTTTCAAAAAAAGATTGAGGATGAAAAAAGTTATGACGAAAAAAATGTGGCGCGCCGCGCACCATTTTTTTAGTACTGAAATTTTGGTATTATCCATTTTTTTGACATTTTTTTCTCGATTTTTTTCTTCTAGAACTAGTTTTGATACTGGTTTATTATTATGTAACAAATCATAATAGAGTGCTAAAATGATGAAATTTTGCTAGTTTGCCGAAAAAGTCGGTATTTTCCAGAAAACAAAAAACTGACGCTTGCGGGCATCGAACTCGCGACCTCAAAAAGACATTTCGCAGCGCACGCGCTGCGCCAAGCTGCTAGGTCTAGCAAAGGGAGCTTCCATCCGCCTTACCCTTGAGCCGTTTGGATAGCACAGATTGCCTATTTCAAAAAAAGAAAAGTTTGGAGTAATTTAGCTATTTTTATCAGAATATGTTCGCAAATCTTTACTCAAACTTTTCGTGGAAATTCACTTCGAAAAAACTGTTTTTTTAGTGCTTTTTGCCTCGTTTAACGATCGCTGCATTAAAACGGCCCCGTAAATTTTTTTGGCAAAGACGAATTTTTTTATTTTATTCTTTTTAATTGAAAGATTTTTTTACTAATAAATGTATATAATCGTTTGAAAAACCTGCGTTCGACCGCTTTCTGTGTGATAAACGCCGCTAATTTTATTCTCTAGTTTCAAGAGCATTTTTTTGCGTATTAAACAACTTTTTTTCAAGCAAAGATGCTGTAGAGAAATATTTGAGTAAGCTCATGATCTAAATTTTGAAAAAAACAAAAAAACTCGATTATCTTCGCTTATTAACGATATTTTTGAATTATGACTTTCGGCACTCCCTAAAATTTTTTTGGCAAAGACGAATTTTTTTTATTTTATTGTTTTAAAAATTACCGTTACTTGAATCAAAAATCATTATATAAAAAAAGAAAGAGTGCGTTCGACCTGAAAACACATGAAAAAGCAAAAAATGACAAATTTTTTTAGTTGCATTCACGTTTTTGTACGACATTCCGCGAGAACGCATCAAAAAAAGCGTGAAATATTTTTTAAACGAAAGAGGAAGCTTTTCTGTACATGTGTGTCAAAATTTATTATCCAGTTCCACATATTTTGCAACTATAACAAAATGAAAGTTGAAAACCAAAAAAAAGCCACTTTTTCTATCGCGAAAGGGGGCGTGGCTTTTTGGTCTCTAAGCATAGTCTCCTTGTTTTTTTAGCCATTTTTCAAGCTTACAATCTGGCTGATTTTAATAAATTCAAACCAAGTTTCCGTTTTATAATTTCGAAATGCAAATATAGAACGGAAAAATCAAAGAAATGCGGAAAGTTCAGAAAAAAGGCGAAGATAACTTAGGGATTCTAGAGTGGTCCCTATAGGGGTTAGGAGGAAAAACAGCCCTTTAGGGACCACTAACTTAAACCCTTATTGGGAAGACCAGCATGACCCCTTGCAAGCTTTAGGGGCCCCTATAGGGGTAATAAAGTGGTCCCTAGAGGGGATCCTGCAAGGTAGCCTCCCCTAAAAAAATTTAAAATCCAAGGAACAAAAAAGGAATAAAACCGTTTTAGCTTTCCATGAAGTCATTTTACAACTCTGTTCCGAATTTCAGTTCCATAATTACAAAATGAAGACACGAAAAGGGGAAAAAATCGAAAAAGATGGCGAATTATGGGGGAGAAAACAGAACAATACATGTCTCCAGTTGCAGAGAACTCCAAAGCCGGAAAAATAAAGGAAACGACGAAAAAGGAAGAGAGAGAGGGAGGACAGGGAGGGTGCAGACGGTGGGAAAAAAAGTGGGCGGAGCCTGGGTCGGGCTAGGCTCACGGCGGCGAGGGAGTTGTGTGGGTGGAGTTGGTTCTCCTTTTTCCGCCTTCCCGCTTCTTTTTTTTTTTGCTCTCTCTTTCCGTTTTCGGCTATGAATATGGATATGGATGTGGAGACATGTATGGAAATGAGCATTCATTCGTCATTGGTCGCATTTGGAATGGCTTTCGACGCGTCGCGGTCACTTCCTAATACTTTTCGATATGCTTGGGCGCAAACCGTTTTTGGTCGGGTGAGACGTTTAACCAAATTATTATGACCTTCTACTTCAAGGAAAAAGCCTCCGAGCGCAAGTCGTTTCAGGTCGGGTGCAAAATTTTTTTGAAAGTGTGAATATTTGGAAATGAAAAAGAACTAATAGGAACGAGAATTGAGGTCCGGAAAATTCTAAATACAAATTTTTTGCTCTTTTTTCAAATAATTCCAAGCGAAAACCGTTTCGAGTCGGAGGAGCCTTGGAGCAGCTTTGAAAAAAAAATTCAATAGTTCAAAAAAAACATGACTAGAATCGGATCGTGAAGCATATGAATCAAGGTTCTCTAAAAAATAATTGGTTTAAAAAAACCCTCAAGGTACAATGGATCTGTAGACATGGAAATAAGTGTTCCTGGCCGCAGTGGGAATGGCTCGAGGCGTCGCGGTCGCGTTGCGGTTCCTATTTTCCAGATGTTCCTGCATGGAAACTGTTTCAGACCAATACTCGAACTCGCACCCGACCTGAGACAGTTTCCGCGCGATGACCTCGTAAAGCAGGAGGACAAGAAAAAATCCGCTAGAACCGCAACGCGACCGCGACGAAGCTATTCCAAAAAATTTTGAGAGCCTTTTTTTTTGAAACAGTAAAGTTATTCGAAAAAAAATATTCATCCTTTCGAAAACTACATACAAGGGATAAAAATCACTAATACTTTCCCACATGATACGTTCGGAAAAAGACCCGATTTTGTAGCGATTATCGGCCCACATGGCGATTCTCATGACGTTTTTCGACTCCAAAAATATTATCATAATCATGTTGGTGTACAGATTTTGTTCTGATTCTTTTCCCTGGCTCATGAAAAATAGGAATGTGAAATAAATGGGGAAAGCGTAGAAAATGAGACAACAACAAAAAAAAAGAGGGAAACGGGCCGTTTCATTCGAATAATTAAATTGAAAAGGCGGCCCCGAGGGCAACCGATAATTGGGTTTCTCCCCACAAATTCAATGATAGGGGGAGAAAAAAGAAAGTGGGAAAAGTTTTGGGATAATTTCAAACTTGGAATTTTCAAAAACATGGAAAAAAAAAAAGTTAAAATTAGAAGTGATAAGAATTGATAAAGAAATCATGCCGCACCTTGCAGATAAGGCCACGCCTATTTTCTCAAATAAAAATTCACGAAATTTTGAAAATCCTTTCAGAAACAGAAAACGCTCACAGTCTATCAAAAGGCAGTGATTTCTGAAACCGTGCCGCAATTTACAGATTAGGCCACGCCCATTTTTGTAAATACATTCCTTTAAAAATGAAAAGCCTTTCGTAAATAAAAATCGCTCAAAGTCTATCAAAAAGAAGTGATTTCTGGGACCATGCCGCAACTTGCAGATTAGGTCACGCCCGTTTTTTTAGACAAAATATTTTCAAAAACTGAAAAAAATTCATTTAGAAATAAGAACCGCTTCAAGTCAATTGAAAATGAGTGATTTTTCGGAACCGTGCCCCACTTGCAGATTAGGCCACGCCCATTTTTTTCTTAATAGAATCTCTTACACATAGAAAACCCTTTAGAAAATGAAAACCGCTGAAAGTCTATAAAAAATAAATAATTTTTGGAACCGTGTCCCACTTGCAAATAAGGCCACGCCCATTTTTCGTGATAGAATCTCTTACACATAGAAAGACCTTTAGAAAATGAAAACCGCTAAAAGTCTATGAAAAAAGGTGATTTTCGGAACCGTGCCCCACTTGTAGATTAGGCCACGCCCATTTTTGTAAATACATTCCTTTATGAATGAAAAGTCTTTCGTAAATGAAAATCACTCAAAGTCTATCAAAAAGAAGTGATTCCTGGAACCGTGCCGCAATTTGCAGATCAGGCCACGCCTATTTTCCGTAATAGAATCTCTTACAAATTGAAAAAACCTTTAGAAAATGAAAGCCTCTAACAGTCTATGAAGAAATAGTCCTTTCTGGAGCCATGCCCAACTTGCAGATTAAGCCACGCCCCTTTTCCCGAATAAAAGTTCACAAAATTTTGAAAATGCATTCAAAAGCAGAAACCGCTCACAGTCCATTGAAAGTAGTGATTCCTAGAACCGTGCCGCATCTTGCAAATAAGGCCACGCCCATTTTTTGACAGAACCTTTTCAGAACTAAAAAATTCATTTAGAAGAACCGCTCAAAGTCTATGAAAAAAAGTGATTTTCGGAACCGTGCCCCACTTGCAGATTAGGCCACGCCCATTTTTTAGACAAGATCTTTTCAAAACTGAAAACTTCATTTAGAAGAACCGCTCAAAGTCTATGAAAAAAAGTGATTTTCGGAACCGTGCCCCACTTGCAGATTAGGCCACGCCCATTTTTTAGACAAGATCTTTTCAAAACTGAAAACTTCATTTAGAAATGGGAACCGCTTCGAGTCAATTGAAAATGAGTGATTTCTGTAACCGCGCCCCACTTGCAGGTTAGGCCACGCCCATTTTTTTCACGAGATTAGTTGAATAGCAGTTAGATAAAGAGGAAAAGAAAGAAAAATCGAAAAAAACGAAAATAATAACTTTTTCTCAAAGACTTGTGAGCTGGAGGTTATATTCAGGCCTCATATGATTAACCTATACCTTTTTTTAATCACTATTTATATAAAAATATAAGGTTCAGATAGTATTATAGCTGCAAAGTTCAAGACTGAAAAAAATGATTCGAAAAGGAAAATTTTAAATATCATCTGAAAAAAATGGAGTTTTGTGATATTTTCTTTGGATTAAAAAAAATTTTCTATCAGTTTTCCATTTTTCATGGTTGAGGTGACACTAGAAAGTCGATCAAAAAAACAAAAAAATGTAAAAAAATTTTAAAAGAGGCTCGAAAATCCGAGAAAAAAATGATACCTTCAACTTCAGAAAATTCAAAAAAATTTACGAAAAAAGAGAAAAAAAAGTGATAAATTTAAGGAAAAGGCGAAAAAAAGAGGTTGTAAGCCAAAAATTTTCGAAAAAAATATTATATTTTTTTCGATTTTACATTAACTTATTTATCGAATAATTCATAGATTTCACACAAAAAAGACGAAAATGGTCAAAAAAGAAAGGTAAAAATGAGAAAAATATCAAAAACTGAGACTATGGGGTCAAAATTTGAAAAATATACAGAGCACATCTCAACAAAAATTCTTTTTAATTTTTTTCTTCAAAAATTCTCTGTTCGATCTAATAAATGTAATACTGCACCTCTTCAAAAAGTCTCATCCTGAGAAAAAAAGACAAGAAAGGTCAAAAAAATGGTAAAAAAATGAGAAAAAAACTCGAAAAAAAGTGAGGGTGGGAGCCAAAAAAATCCAAAAAAATGGGTTTTTTTCAAACTTCCCTCAAGTTCTTCTCTGATTTCTCCATAGATACGATGACATCGAACCAGATAAAAAAATATATCAAGCGATTCGAAAATATCGAAAAAGACTTTTTTTGGCATTTCGAACGATTTTGGGAGCCTAAAACAAAAATAAACCACAAAAAAAGATGGTCAAAACTCAAAAAAACGGCTTTTTTTCAAGATTCTCAAACAATTCAAGCTACAAATGTATAAAAATTTCCCTTTCCAAAAACTTCATCACATAAAAAATGCCAGAAAGGCGATCAAAATTGAGAAAAAGACGAAAAAAAGTAAGGCTCCGGGCCAAAATTTGAAAAAATACGGATTTTTCAAACTTGTTCGATTCATTCATGATACAAGGAAGACGATCGAAACTCGAAAAAACGTCTTTTTCTCAAAATATTCCTGGAAAATGATCCATTAAAGCTACACGTAGATGAAAATCCGCCTTTTTGAAAATTTCATGACATAAAAAGTGCCAAAAAGGCGATCAAAATTGAGAAAAAGACGAAAAAAAGTGAGGCTGAGAGCCAAAATTTGAAAAAAATACGGATTTCTCGAACTTATTCGATTCATTCATGACACAAGGAAAATGGTCAAAACTCGAAAAAAACGCCTTTTTCTCAAAATATTCCTAAAAATAATCCATTAAAGCTACACGTAGATAAAAATTCGCCTTTTGAAAAATTGCATAACATAAAAAAATGCCGAAAAAAAGTGGTCAAAACTCGAAAAAAACGCTTTCTCAAAAGTACTCCTGGAAAATTGACTCATTTAAGCTACAAATGTATATAAATTTCACTTTTCAAAGATTTCCTAACATAAAAAATGCAACAAAAACCGATCAAAATCGAGAAAAAGAGGAAAAAAGTGAGGGTGGGGGCCAAAATTTGAAAAAATACGGATTTTTCGAACTTATTCCATTCAATCATGCTACAAAGAAGACGATCAAAACTCAAAAAAACGTCTTTTTCTCAAAATATTCCCAAAAATTGACCCATTCAAGCTACAAATGTTCAAAAATCTCTTTTTTAAGAACTTCATAACATAAAAAATGCCAGAAAAAGCGATCAAAATCGAGAAAAAAACGAAAAAAAGTGAGGGTGGGAGGGCTTTTCAGGAGATTCAGAAAGATGGAGTCGGAGGGTGGGGCTCTTTCTCTCTGGCTCCAGGAGCAAGAGAAGTGGGGGGAGCAGAAGCTGAGGCGAGAAGAAATTGGAGAAACACCCGGCCGGACGACCGCTATACGAACTCTCTCTCTTGGGAAACGACTTTTGCTTCGTTCTTTTTTTTCTTCTTCCTCAGCCGGATGTCGTTGTTTTTTGTTGTCTCATTTCAGAAGCGTTCCTTTTTTGGTAGGAGTAGTATAGTTGAAGAAATTTTTCTTTTGAAGAAATAGCCTCGAAATCTTGAGCTTGTGCGCCCCAAGGAAAATCTACAGGCAAAAAAGATTGGATTGAGATTTTTTTCGAGAAAAGGCGGTTTTGGGAAAAAATAGCCTCAGAATTTTGATTTTCCGCGCTCTATGGACATTTTCCTCTATCTTAAAACATTTAGGAAGAAATAGCCTCAGAATTTTGATTTTCTGCGCTCCATGGTCATATTCATTAATCCAAAGACATTCAGGAAGAAATAGCCTCGAAATCTTGAGCTTGTGCGCCCCAAGGATAATCTGTGAGCAAAAGAGAGGGGTCGGGTTTTTTTGCACGAAAAACGGAGCCGGGGAAAAAATAGCCTCACTATTTTGATTTTCTGCGCTCCATGGACATTTTCATTAATCTAAGGACATTTAGGAAGGAATAGCCTTGAAATCTTGAGCTTGTGCGCCCCAAGGATAATCTATGAGCAAAAAATGACTTTCTAGGAAAAACGGATTTTCTACGAAAAACGGCGCTGAGAAAAAATAGCCTCAAAAATATTCGATTTTCTGCGCTCCAAGGATAATATAACCTAGCAGGGTTGCTTTTGCTGTTAAAAAGAGTATACATGAAGCCTCTTGTCATTGGAAATAAAACTGCGAATAAATAGCCTCGTATTTCTGAGCTTTTGCGCCCCAAGGATAATCTACGAGCAAAAAAAGATTATATCGAGTTTTTTGCACGAAGAACGAAGCTGAGAAAAAATAGCCTCGAATTTTCGAGCTTGTGCGCCCCAATGATAATCTACGAGCAAAAAAAGATTCTATCGAGTTTTTCGCACGAAAAACGGAGCCTAGAAAGAATAGACTCAAAAATCCGATTTTCCGCGCTCCATGGAAATCTTCCTCTAACTCAGAAAAATTAAGAAAAAATAGCCTCGAAATCTTGATTTTCTGCGCTCCATGGACATTTTCATTAATCCAAAGACATTCAGGAAGAAATAGCCTCGAAATCTTGAGCTTGTGCGCCCAAAGGATAATCTATAAGCAAAAAATGGTTGAGCCCAGTTTCTTACACAAAAAAGGAGCCGAGAAAAAATAGCCTCAAAGTTTTCATTTTTTACGCTCCATGGACGTTTTCATTAATCTGAGGAAATTTAGGAAAAAATAGCCTCGAAATCTTGAGCTTGTGCACCCCAAGGATAATCTATGAGCAAAAATTGATTTTCTACGAAAAACGGCGCTGAGAAAAAATAGCCTCAAAAATTCGATTTTCTGCGCTCCAAGGATAATATAATCCAGCAGGGTCGCTTTTCCGGTGCAAAAAGTATGAATGTAGCATCTTATCATTGGAAATTTAACTGCGAAGAAATAGCTTCGTGTTTCTGAGCTTTTGCGCCTCAATGATAACTTACGAGCAAAAAATGACTTTCCACGAAAAACGGAGCTGAGAAAAAATAGCCTCGAAATCTTGAGATTTTGCGCCCCAAGGATAACCTACAGACAAAAAATGGCTGAACCCCGTTTTTTCTACGAAAAACGAGGCTGAGAAAAAATAGCCTCGAAATCTTGAGATTTTGCGCCCCAAGGATAACCTACAGACAAAAAATGGCTGAACCCCGTTTTTTCTACGAAAAACGAGGCTGAGAAAAAATAGCCTCGAAATCTTGAGATTTTGCGCCCCAAGGATAACCTACAGACAAAAAATGGCTGAACCCCGTTTTTTCCACGAAAAACGAAGCTGAGAAAAAAAAGCCTTGAATTTTAGAGCTTTTGTGCCCCAATGATAATTTACGAGCAAAAAAGATTATATCGAGTTTTTTGCAGCTGGGGAAAAGAGAGCCTTGCATTATAGAGCTTTTGCGCTCCAAGGACAATTTAGAATAAGAAGAGGCAAAAAAATGGATCTAGAAAACAAGGTCAAAGGCAAGTCAAGGGTGAATGAACTATCCTTAAAAGGTGAAAATTTCATCCTCAAAGAAAAAAAAATGGAATGAAAAATGACGGACACGGCGGCCATCTACATGACGGACGAGCGAGGGTGTGAGCCGAGAGGGGGGAGTTTAAAGCCGAGTGGTCACTCTAGGGGCGTCAAGGCTTGACGGCGGCGAGTGTAAAGGGACAAGGTGACCCCGTCGACTCCAAATGACCGGAACTATAGTTCCCTGGGAAAAAGGGGGGAACTTTCCGGAGAGAAGGTGAAAAAGTTCAGATAACACTGCCAAAGTTGGACGGACCCTTTACAGGACCATTGAGGGTCCGTTATGGGTGCAAAAAGGTTTCCTTTTTACTGCCTTTTACCGCCCTTTTATCGGCCTTTATCCACCCTTTTTGGACCCGTCGGAAAAGCGGAAAAACGGGTGCGAAATGGCTGCTAAATGGGTTCCGTTTTGCGGCCTTTATCGAGCCTTTCTTTCTTTGTGAGCTGAAAAGTCTCAAAAAGGGTGCAAAAAGGGTGCAAAATGGCCGCTAAATGGGTTCCGTTTTGCGGCCTTTGTTGACCCTTTCTTTTTTGGTGGGGTAAAAAGTCTCAAAAAGGGTGCAAAAAAGGTGCTGGAAAACTCGGCCATTGATAATTTCCGATTGTACTACTGTAGCATTTTGGTTCATACACATTCCAAGATTATTCTCAATTTAAAAAATATTCTCAAAAGGGTCCAGAAGGTTGGATAAAGACCGATGAAAGGACGAAAAAGGCTGTAAAAAGGAAACCTTTTCGCACCCATAACGGATCCTCAAGGATCCCCCAAAGGGTCCTTCCGACTTTGGCTATTTTTTAATAAATTTATTGAAAAAAATTGATAGTTTTTCAGAGCAATCGAGGTTTTTTTTTAAAAGTGCGTCATAATTATTGACACTTTTGATCCATAACGGACTTTGCCTATGACAAAAATTTTTTAAAATTTTAAGAATAATCTTTACCAGAGACTGTGTAGGAACCAAAATGTGCTACAGTAATCAAATCGGAAATGATCAATGGTCGAGGTTTACAGAACCCTTTTTGCACCCTTTTCGGTGGCCTTATTTTCCAAATCGTGACATTTCACTGTCACGGAAAAAGATTGCAAAATGGCTGCTGAAAGGGTTCCGTTTTGAGGCCTTTATGGAGCCTTCCTTTGTGGCCTACTTTCTTTCGAACCGTGGGAACCGAAGGAGTATCAATTGAACCCAAAAAGGGATCTTTTGAACCCGAACATTTTTTTGTCGTTCAAGTTTCTTCAAGTTGTAAAAACTTGATTACAAAATGAGAAACTGTAGTTCTTCTCCAAATAGGCGTTTTTCCATAAAACAAAGGCCCGTTCAACGACTTTAGATGCATGTTGGTTCTTCGTTTTTCGTATAGGAATCTGCGAACGGCTCATTAGGAGAAATGCACTTGTTTTTGTTTCTTCAAATGAGACGTTTTCTTATCAAATTTGTAATTCTGAATGGCTTTTTGGAAGTTCGGAGAAGTATCGGACCTATGCATTTTGCAAAAACTTTCTCTGAAATTTTTCAATCGGGAGGTGTTTTCGACTCTTGAAAAAGTTTTTCCAATTTGTACTAAAAGTTATTATTCTCATTACGGAACTTCTAAAAGCTCTTCAAAAATTGATAGGAAAAATATCTCATTTGAAGAAACAAAAAAACAAGTGGATTTTTCCTAATGAGCCGTTCGCAGATTCCTATACGAAAAACGAAAAACCAACATGCATCTAAAGTCGTTGAACGGGTCGTTGTTTAATGGAAAAACGCCTATTTGGAGAAGAACTACCATTTTTTTTACATTTTGTAATCAAGTTTTTACAACTTGAAAAAACTTGAACGACAAAAAGATGTTTGGGTTCCCTTCGGTTCACACGGTTCAACAGATAGTAGCCACAAAGAAAGGCTCCATAAAGGCCTCAAAACGGAACCCTTTCAGCAGCCATTTTGCAACCTTTTTCCGTGACCGTGAAAGGTCAAAGCCCCGATTTGGAAAATTAGGCCGCCAGTTCTTTAAAAATGTTCTTTTTAGCTCCTTTCTTTCCTTTTTTGAAATGAGAAACTAAAAAAAGTTCAAAAAAATTACCTTAGAACTCCGGTCGCATTTGGAATGGCTCAGCGTGCCTTCCGGACTGCTCTGAATACAATTTCGAATTTTTGAAAAGATTTTTTCAAGTAATATAAAAATCAAAAATTCCATTTTCCAACGAAAAAGCAAAAAAATGAATCATATAGCTTCATTCCACACGAACCGCTTTTCAGTACAAATCGGGATTTTGAGACAGAAAAAAATAACTAATCGAAATTTCTATACAGGTTTCTAGAAAGAAAGAATAAAAATACAAAGGAAATATTGCACAAAAATTTGGGGAAAAAAGACAAGTGAGTGAGGACTACTGTAGGGGTACTGTAGGACGAAAATAGCTGTCGGAAAATTGAAAAAAGGGGAATTTTCAGCCACTGAAAAATAGCGCAGACATCAAAAAAGCTGAAATTTGAGCCGCGAAAAATAGCTTTGCAAAAATCGCATCATTAAATGATACCGAAATGGTTCAAAAACCAAAAAAAACCACTATTCAGCCGCTAAAAATAGCTCCAACTTTTGAAAAATGTAATTTTAAATGGCTTTTTGAAACAAAATCGCCTCATTAAATGATACCAAAATGGTTCAAAACCAAAAAAACCCATATTCAGCCGCGAAAAAGAGCAAAAATTGGACTTGAGTCTTTTTTTAGCCCTAAAAATAGCTTCAACTAACAGAAAATTCAATTTTTAGCCGCGAAAAATAGCTTTTTGAAACAAAATCGCGTCATTAAATGATACCGAATTGGTTCAAAAACCTATATTTAGCCGCGAAAAGAGCAAAATTGGACTTTTGGTCTTTTTAGCCGCAAAAAAACAGCCCCAACTTCTGAGAAAATCCAATTTTCAGCTGCGAAAAACAGCAAAAATTGAATTCGGATCTTTTTAGCCGCAAAAAATAGCTCCAACTTTCAGAAAATTCATTTTTAGCCGCGAAAAACGGCTTTTTGAAACAAAATCGCGTCATTAAATGATACCAAAATGGTTTAAAAAAACCCATATTCAGCCGCGAAAAACAGCAAAAATTGGACTTGGATCTTTTTAGCCGCGAAAAATAGCTTTTTGAAACAAAATCGCGTCATTACATGATACCAAAGTGGTTCAAAAACCCATATTCAGCTGCGAAAAAGAGCAAAATTTGAACTTGGACCTTTTTAGCCGCAAAAAGTAGCCATAACTTCTCTATTTTCAGCCGTGAAAAATAGCTACACCTGAAAAATTCCATTTTTAGCCGCGAAAAATGGCAAGAAAAGGTCATTTTTCAGCCTCAAAACTTAGAGAAAAGAGCTAAAATTTAGGTTTTCTACATTTCAGCCGCCGAAATAACCATCATTTTCTTCCTAAAAGCTATTTTCATCTTTCAAAAAAAGTTCTACCGGAAAGAAACCAAACCCGAACGATTGGCTACCCGTGACAGTGTTTGGAAAGGGAAAACATCGGGAAAAAGAAAAAAATCACAAAAATAGATTTACACCGGATAAAAAGTTGGAAGGATCACAGGAAGGAAGTTTTTCAAAGGGGCACTTTTTGAAAAATGAGAAAAAAAATGTTAATTTTTAGGCTGTCGATACGCTATCCGAATCACCGTCCACATGTTCATCATCGGTTCCTTCGCCGACATTTTCGAGGTCCTGAAATTGGAAGTTTGAAAAAAAATGTTCGCAATTTACAGAGTCCAAAAAACTTTGAAAATTTCAGTCGATTCACCGTGTTCAATCTCACTCAATATTATATATTATTTTTTTAGCGTTATAGCTCTCTATATAAGCGATATTGCTCGCCCCTTACGATATCGCAAAAATCTCGCGCTACATCGCTTTTTTTGAAAATTTTTTTTTCCAATCTCAGATTTATGAAAAAAAACAATATGGAAGCGAGACTTTGTCGATATCGCGGCAAGAAGTTTTGGCTATATCGCCTGCGACACTTGCGTTGCGGTCGCGACGCGGTTGAGGCGAAAAAAGACGTATTATTTGGAATGCTGCTCAGACAATGGTAGAGTCCCTCAACTCACTCAATATCATATATCAGGGAACCGTAAGCGATATCGCTCATCTCCTGTCGCGATATCGCAAAAAAATCTCGCGCTAAATCAGAAATTCAAAATGAAGCAAAAAGGTTTTTTTAATCTCCGTTTATTGTAAGGAGTGATATGCCAGCGAGGCTTTGTCGATATCGCAAAGAAGTTTTGGCTATATCGCCTGCGACACTTGCGTTGCGGTCGCGACGCGGTTGAGGCGAAAAAAAAAATCTTTCTCTTTGGAATGCTGCTCAGACACTGGTAAAGTCCCTCAACTCACTCAATATCATATATCAGGGAACCGTAAGCGATATCGCTCATCTCCCGTCGCGATATCGCAAAAAAATCTCGCGCTATATCGCTTTTTTGAAAAAAATTTTTTCTTCTTGAAATGCAACAAAAATAAGTTCCAATCTCAGATTTATGAAAAAAAGCGACATGCCAGCGAGTCTTTGTCGAAATCGCGGCAAGAAGTTTTGGCTATATCGCCTGCGACACTTGCGTTGCGCTTTTTCTTACCAGTGCCATCTCGGGCCTCCTGACGACCTCCACGGCCTCGAGGATCCGTTTCAAGACGACTTGTTGGGCGGCGAACTGTTCGAAGATGCGGTCGTCCTGGGAGGCGAACAGCTCCTTCATCGTCGTGTTCTGGGCGTTCAGCGCCGCGCAAATCGCGGCGTTCAGTTCCTTGGAGGTGCCGGTTTGGGTGTGGGCGAGGAGGGCGATGGCCGCCTCGGCCTTGCGGATTCCCTTCAGGAGGAGGCGTTGCTGGACCGCCTTGACGGCCTTCAGACGTCGGCCGCTGTCTTCCCGGAGACGTTCTTCTTGGGTTTTCAGGGCGTGGGACATTCGGCTCGAGATGCAGAAGTAGAAGATGAACGGCAGGATCAAGGCCAACATGTTGGAGACGATCAGGGCGCCGATTACTTGGTCCGTCTGAAAATTAGAGAAAAATTCTGAAAAGGGTCCAAAAAACGGGTCCATTTTGCATCAATTTCATGTGAATTTTCGAAAAATTTTTTTTCCTAATTTTTCTAAACAATTCTGTGAAGGATATGCTTACAAAAATATAAAAAAGTCGTTTTTTTCTCTTTTTTCAAACAGAAAAAGATGAATTATTGAAAAAAATTCAATTTTTCTAACCGAAATACTGTAGAAAAATTGATTTCATTTCGATTAAATTTTTTTAAAATTGAAAAATGAACAATAAATCGATTTTTTTCATCATTTTTCGCCTTTAAAAATCATTTTTTTCCATTTACAGGTTCAAAAAAATGTATTTTTTTCTATTAATTTCACATTAATTCGTGACCTTTTGAAGCAATATTTCAATTTGAAAAAAATTTAATGGATTTTCCGTTGAAATTCGTATCCATTTTGTGACTTTCCAGAGCATTTTTCTATTGAAAGCTGAAAAATTCAATTTTTGATCAATTTCGTGACTTTTTCGGACATTTCTTCGGAATTTGAAGCTAAAAAGATTTTTAAGATTTTGAGGCCATTTACAAGCTTTCCATCGTCTTTAAAAGCATTCTACTTCAAATTTTTCGAAATTTCTCGATTTTTTTGAAAAATCTAGTACTTTTATGGGTCAATTCTCATCTTTTTTTCAGTTCTAGGCCTAAAAAAATGAACTTACATTCCAATTTGGCGTGTATGAAATCATCGGATCGATGAGTTTTTTTCCTCCTCGATTGAACTGCTGATTCGTGGAATTTCGTGATCTGAAAAAGGTCATTTTTTTGAAGTTTTTATTCAAATTTTCTACCATTTTCATCACATTTTTCAAATTATTAAAAATTTTTCTGGCTAGGAAATTCGTCTTTTTATACCATTTAAGGTCTGAAAAATTTTGGTAAAAACCAATAAAAAAATCAGAAAAAGTCCACCAAAAACTGGGAAAAAATTTTTTAAATGAAAAAAACAACCCGATTTTCCAGTCCTTAATTATTGAAAAATTAAAAACTATTTTTGTTTCAAAAATGCGGATTTCACTCATTTTTTTCGGAATCTACAGGCTCAAAATTTTTATTCAAGGTCAAATTTTTTTCATTCCAACATTGAAAAAAATTAGCAAAAAAATTGTAAAGAATTTCATTTCGTGGAAAAAAACGCTGCAAAAAAATATTCTCAATTTTCAAGTACTAAGATACCACTAAAAAAATGAACAAAAAAATTGTACTGAAAAGGGAAAAAAATTCGTCAAAAACTTGAAAAACCAAGAAATTCGACCGAAAGGCATTTCAATGAAATTTAAAACCAATTTTTCTGAGTTTTTCCAGGCAAAAATATTCAAAAAAATCAAATTTTTGCTTCAAAATTCGATTTTTCCAGTACAAAATCACCACTAAAAAAACTCATATTTTCCTTCAAATTATCATTTTTTTGTTTCGAAACCTGAGTTTAATTCAATTATTCGGAATCTACTGGCTTAAAAATTTTTGACACAGGGAAAAATTTTTTTCAATTTATACAGTGAAAAAAATGAACAAAAAAATGTACTGAAAACGTAAAAAAAGATCAAAAAAATCGCACTGAAATCAGAGAAAATTCATCAAAAACTTGAAAAACCCATAAATGTGACCGAAAGGCATTTCAATGAAATAACCCAATTTTTCTGAATTTTTCCAGGCGAACATATTCAAAAATCAATTTATTTCATTCAAAATTCAAGTTTTCCAGTACAAAGATACCACTAAGACCTCATTTTTTCCTTCAAATTACTGTTTTTTTGTTTCGAAACCTGAAGTTGAATCGATTTTTCAGAAACCACTGGCTTAAAATTTGATTCAAGATCATATTTCTTTCATTTAAACAATGAAAAATGAACAAAAAAATGGTACAGAAATTCGTCAAAACTTGAAAAAAACCCAGAAATGTGACCGAAAGGCATTTCAATAGAATTCAACCCGATTTTTCTGAATTTTCCAGGCAAAAATATTCAAAAAATCAATGTTTCAGCTTCAAAATTCGAATTTTACAGTACAAAGTCACCAATAAAAATTCATTTTTCCCTTTTAATTTTGAATTTTACAAGAATATTTTCGATTCCTCACCACCCTGAGGCTTGCTGAAGCAACTCTCGTCGTAGCCTCTCCTCGTGAACTTGACCAAATCGAAAAGTTCGTCATTTTCCAGTTTCGTCAGACGGATTATTGAAAACGCCCTTTTTAGGTCTTGAACCTCGCGTCGTAGGCGATTTACCTGGATTTTTACATGTTTTTTCGGAATATTTTCTTCTTGGGGATTCAAGAGTGGTCCCTATAGGGGCTAGGACAAAAAACAGCCTTTAAAATGCTTGAAAAAGGGCTCCCAAAGTTTTCCCCATAGGGGTAAAAATAAGGTGGTCCCTATAGGGATTTAAAAGGCCCCCCTAGAGCTCAAGGGGTCCCTGTAGGGGTCTTTTAACTTTTAAACCAGACTTTTAAGCTGAAAAGTGGTCCCTATAGGGGCTAGGACAAAAAACAGCCTTTAAAATGCTTGAAAAAGGGCTCCCAAAGTTTTCCCTATAGGGGTAAAAATTAGGTGGTCCCTATAGGGATTTAAAAGGCCCCCCTAGAGCTCAAGGGGTCCCTGTAGGGGTCTTTTAACTTTTAAACCAGACTTTTCAGCTGAAAAGTGGTCCCTATAGGGGTTAGGACAAAAAACAGCCTTTAAAATGCTTGAAAAAGGGCTCCCAAAGTTTTCCCTATAGGGGTAAAATTTAGGTGGTCCCCATTGAGATCTGTGGCGTCCCTCTAGAGCTCAAGTGGTCCCTGTAGGGATCTTTCAATTTTTAAATCGGACTTGTAAGCTGAAAAATGCTCCCTATAGGAATCTAAGGTGTCCCCCCTAGAGCTCAAGTGGTCCCTAAAGGGGTCTCTTAATTTTATTGGTTCATATTTGAAAGCTGAAAAAGTGCTCCCTAGAGGGGGTAAAATTTAAGTGGTTCCTATAGGGTTCTAGTGTCTGATCCGTGAGCCCCTGAAGCTCAAGTGGTCCCTATAGGAGTCTTTCAATTTTCTGCTCAGATTTGAAAGCAGAAAAGTGCTCCCTATAGGGATAAAACTTAGGTGCTCCCTATAGAGATTTAGGGTCTAACTTCAAAAGCTCAAGTGGTCCCTAGAGGGGTCTCTTGATTTTAGGTCCGTGTTTGAAGGCCTAAAAATGCTGCCTAAAAGTGGTCATTATAGGGTTTCAGGGTCTGAACGCTTATTTTCTAAATATCAAGTGGTCCCTCTAGGGATCTCTCAATTTTTGGTTAATATTTAAAGACAAAAAAGTGCTCCCTAGAAGTGGCCATTATAGGGATTTATAGTCTCACCGCTCATCTTCTAAACCCTGAGTGGTCCCTATAGGAGCCTTTCAATTTTCTGCTCAGATTTGAAGTTTGAAAAGTGCTCCCTATAGGGGTAAAGATCAGGTGGTCCTTTAAAGGATCTAGGGTCTGGCCCTGACGCTCAAGTGGTCCCTATAGGGGTAGCTTAACTTTTGGTTCAGTTTTGGGAAATTAAAAGGGTCTATAGGGACCACTAGCATGCTCCCCTAGAGTGGCCACTTTTGCAATATTCAGTGGCCCCTATAGGGATGAGGTCGTCCTGTAGTGACTACCTTAGCGTTTTTAAGTTCTTCAATTTCCAAGATTTATTAATTTTCGTTCCAAAATTGACAGAAAATATCAAAATTCATCTCTTTTTCATGAAATTTACGATCGATTTTCATAAAAACCACTTTTTCTCAATTTTCTTGAACAAAACCCTTCAAAAAATCAGTAAAATCACCCTGGATCGCATCAAAATCTCGGAATTTCTGGCCGTTTCACTGGCAAGTCGGTGGGATTTTGACAGCTCTTTCTTGTAGCCGTTCATCTGATTGACGTACCTAGAAAAGGGATTTTTTGAAGGTCTGAATGAAAAATTAAACGATGGCAAACTCGAAAAAAAAAATTTTTTTTGAGCCTTCCAACCTTTTTTCGAAAATTTCCACGATAACAACAACAAAAACCCTTGATTTTAAGCCTATTTCACGAAAATTTTACAAAAAATGAGAAGATTTTCAACTTCACACAGTGGAAATCTCAATGGGAACTAAAAAAGTGGTTAAAAAAATTTTTTTTTCATTTTTCAGGTTAAGTTTTACTATATACTCAACACAAAAATCTACCTATTTTTTTAAAGAAAAAAACCATATTTTTCTCAATTTTTCCCTTTTTCGAAATTTCTTTAACCGTATAAAAAAATACTTGAACTTTCAAATTTCCTAACCGAATTCCAGTGAAAAACTTAATTTTTAGCTAGATTCCTCAAATATCCTGTAGAAATTCTTAAAAAAACGTTTTTTTCTCAATTTTTTTATCCCCCAAAGCTCCACTAACTGTATAAAAAAATGCTTAGATTTTTCAAATTTCCTAACCAAATTCCAGTGAAAAAAACTCAAATTTTCGGTGAATTCTCTCAAAAATTTTTTTCGAAAAAGCTTCTTTTTCTCAATTTTTTTATCCCTTGAAGCTCCCCTAACTGTATAAAAAAACTTGTATTTTTCAAATTTCCTAACCAAATTCTATTAAAAAAACTCAATATTTTTCCAAAAAAACCTCTTTTTTTCTCAATTTTTTTATCCCCCAAAGCTTCCCTAACTGTATAAAAATCACTAAAAATTTTCAAATTTCCTAACCAAATTCCAGTAAAAAAACTCAATATTTTTTTCCAAAAAAACCTCTTTTTCTCAATTTTTATCCCCCAAAGCTTCCCTAACTGTATAAAAAAATGCTTAGATTTTTCAAATTTCCTAACCAAATTCCAGTGAAAAAAACTCAAATTTTTCGGTGAATTCTCTCAAAATTTTTTTCGAAAAAGCTTCTTTTTCTCAATTTTTATCCCTTGAAGCTCCCCTAACTGTATAAAAAAACTTGTATTTTTCAAATTTCCTAACCAAATTCTATTAAAAAAACTCAATATTTTTTTCCAAAAAAACCTCTTTTTTTCTCAATTTTTTTATCCCCCAAAGCTTCCCTAACTGTATAAAAAAATGCTTAGATTTTTCAAATTTCCTAACCAAATTCCAGTGAAAAAAACTCAAATTTTCGGTGAATTCTCTCAAAAATTTTTTTCGAAAAAAAGCTTCTTTTTCTCAATTTTTATCCCTTGAAGCTCCCCTAACTGTATAAAAAAACTTGTATTTTCAAATTTCCTAACCAAATTCTATTAAAAAAACTCAATATTTTTTTCCAAAAACCTCTTTTTTTCTCAATTTTTTTATCCCCCAAAGCTTCCCTAACTGTATAAAAATCACTAAAATTTTTCAAATTTCCTAACCAAATTCCAGTAAAAACTCAATATTTTTTTCCAAAAAACCTCTTTTTTTCTCAATTTTTATCCCCCAAAAGCTTCCCTAACTGTATAAAAAAATGCTTAGATTTTCAAATTTCCTAACCAAATTCCAGTGAAAAAAACTCAAATTTTCGGTGAATTCTCTCAAAAATTTTTTTCGAAAAAAAGCTTCTTTTTCTCAATTTTTTTATCCCTTGAAGCTCCCCTAACTGTATAAAAAAACTTGTATTTTCAAATTTCCTAACCAAATTCCAGTAAAAACTCAATATTTTTTTCCAAAAAAACCTCTTTTTTTCTCAATTTTTTTATCCCCCCCAAAGCTCCACTAACTGTATAAAAAAATGCTTAGATTTTTCAAATTTCCTAACCAAATTCCAGTGAAAAAAACTCAAATTTTCGGTGAATTCTCTCAAAAATTTTTTTCGAAAAAAAGCTTCTTTTTCTCAATTTTTTTATCCCTTGAAGCTCCCTAACTGTATAAAAAAACTTGTATTTTCAAATTTCCTAACCAAATTCTATTAAAAACTCAATATTTTTCCAAAAAACCTCTTTTTCTCAATTTTTATCCCCCAAAGCTTCCCTAACTGTATAAAATCACTAAAATTTTCAAATTTCCTAACCAAATTCCAGTAAAAACTCAATATTTTTTTCCAAAAAAACCTCTTTTTCTCAATTTTTATCCCCCAAAGCTTCCCTAACTGTATAAAAATCACTAAAATTTTCAAATTTCCTAACCAAATTCCAGTAAAAACTCAATATTTTTCCAAAAAACCTCTTTTTCTCAATTTTTATCCCCCAAAGCTCCACTAACTGTATAAAAATGCTTAGATTTTCAAATTTCCTAACCAAATTCCAGTGAAAAACTCAAATTTTCGGTGAATTCTCTCAAAATTTTTCGAAAAAGCTTCTTTTTCTCAATTTTTATCCCTTGAAGCTCCCCTAACTGTATAAAAAACTTGTATTTTCAAATTTCCTAACCAAATTCTATTAAAAAAACTCAATATTTTTTTCCAAAAAAACCTCTTTTTTTCTCAATTTTTTTATCCCCCAAAGCTTCCCTAACTGTATAAAAATCACTAAAATTTTCAAATTTCCTAACCAAATTCCAGTAAAAAAACTCAATATTTTTTTCCAAAAACCTCTTTTTTTCTCAATTTTTTTATCCCCCAAAGCTCCACTAACTGTATAAAAAAATGCTTAGATTTTTCAAATTTCCTAACCAAATTCCAGTGAAAAAAACTCAAATTTTTCGGTGAATTCTCTCAAAAATTTTTTTCGAAAAAAAGCTTCTTTTTCTCAATTTTTTTATCCCTTTGAAGCTCCCCTAACTGTATAAAAAAACTTGTATTTTCAAATTTCCTAACCAAATTCTATTAAAAAAACTCAATATTTTTTTCCAAAAAAACCTCTTTTTCTCAATTTTTTTATCCCCCAAAGCTTCCCTAACTGTATAAAAATCACTAAAATTTTTCAAATTTCCTAACCAAATTCTATTAAAAAAACTCAATATTTTTTTCCAAAAAAACCTCTTTTTTTCTCAATTTTTTTATCCCCCAAAGCTTCCCTAACTGTATAAAAATCACTAAAATTTTCAAATTTCCTAACCAAATTCAGTAAAAACTCAATATTTTTTTCCAAAAAAACCTCTTTTTTTCTCAATTTTTTTATCCCCCAAAGCTTCCCTAACTGTATAAAAATCACTAAAATTTTCAAATTTCCTAACCAAATTCCAGTAAAAACTCAATATTTTTTTCCAAAAAAACCTCTTTTTTTCTCAATTTTTTTATCCCCCAAAGCTTCCCTAACTGTATAAAAATCACTAAAATTTTCAAATTTCCTAACCAAATTCAGTAAAAAAACTCAATATTTTTTTCCAAAAAAACCTCTTTTTTTCTCAATTTTTTTATCCCCCAAAGCTTCCCTAACTGTATAAAATCACTAAAAATTTTCAAATTTCCTAACCAAATTCCAGTAAAAACTCAATATTTTTCCAAAAAACCTCTTTTTCTCAATTTTTATCCCCCAAAGCTTCCCTAACTGTATAAAAATGCTTAGATTTTCAAATTTTATCCAAAAAAAACCCAACTGTTTGCTCAATTCGCTCAAATATTCCGTTGAGAGGGTCAGGTTGAGTTCGACGCTGGCGATTCTTTTGCTCAGTTTCATCAAAATCGATTCTCGGTTATTGAAGGCGGCTCCCGGGAGGACAGTCCCTTCGTTTGCTGGAAAATTGAAGATTCACTCTTTTCAGAAGGAAAAAAATGGCAGCTGGCTCCGCCCCCGGGGGTTACAGTATCTTTTCGTAGTTTCAAATAGTTTCGGGGGCGTAGTTTCAAATAGCTATTAAAATTTGAGGATTCCATTCTATTTTTTTCCTAGAACTACTCACAGGCGGCTCCATTTGGGGTCACGGGTTCCGGAATTTCTTTCGAATTTTTCTTGAGAAACGTCATTTTTTTCGTCGATCCATTGGCCGGAGTTTCGACGACAACCGGCTCAACGACTTTCTCCGTCTCATTCTGAAAAATTCAAAGCTTAAAAATTAGGTTTTTTTAACTCATAAAACTATCAGTTTTTTTATCATTTTCTGCAAAAAAATAAGGTCATTTTTTTGGACACGAAAATCTTTTTTTCTTACTTTTTTTATTTTAGAAATGGAATTTTAAGACAAAAACCAGAATTTTCAATTTTTTTCCAAATGTTATTTTAAATTTTCGACTCCAATGACTTGAATTTAGGTTTTAACCTTATTAAAATAATTCTAAAATAATCATTTTTTTATCATTTCCTGCAAAAAAATAAGGTCCTTTTTTTGGACCCGAAAAATTTTTACTTTTTTTCTGTTTTAGAAATGGAATTTTACATCAAAAAAATATCGAATTTTCCATATTTTTCCACAGAATTTCAAAATTTTCGGTTTCAAAAGGCGAATTTAGGTTTTTAACTTGTTAGAATAATTCTAAAATCATCATTTTTATCATTTCCTGCAAAAAAATAAGGTCATTTTTTTGGACGCAAAAAATTTTTTTCTTACTTTTTATTTTAGAAATGAAATTTTTACAGCCAAAAAATCTCGAGTTTTTCCATATTTTTCCAAAGAAATTCAAAAATTTTTATTTCAGAGCTTAAATTTTAGGTTTTCAACTCACTACACTTCCTAAATTCATCATTTTTATCATTTTTTTCTTCAAAAAAATAATTTAATTTTTTTGGACCTAAGAACTTTTTCCATCTGTTTCCTGAGTCTTTTTCCATTCTAAAAATGAAAATTTCCAACAAAAGGCCATAAAAATCCCGAAAAAACACTCAAAACCCAACCTTTTCCTCCTTTTTCTCGACTTTGGAGTCATTCTGAACCGGCTTCGGGGTTTCCGAAGTGTTATTCCTGCTGAAAAGGTCAAATTGAAACAGGAATCCAGGAGAAAACCGACATTTTCATGACGGAAAATCGTTGGTAGGCCGATTTCAAGCGCCGTTTCGCCTGCTTCAACGTGAATTTTTGGCGAATCGTCGTGTTGCTAAATAAATTCTGATTTCGAGGCTATTTTATCCAAAATTTATGGATTTTAATGCTTGAAAATCATCTAAAATCTGTTAGAAACTAAGCAAGAAGCTTGAAAAAAATTAAATTCCAAGCTTCAAATTCTACAATTTTCCCTCAAGAAAACAGAATATTCTTCAAATTTGAGGGCCTTTTTGGAAAAAGCATTTTAATATAAAATTGTCAAGTTATATTTAAAGAAGCCTTTTTTTCTAAATTTAAAAACAATTTCTCAGCTAAAAAATCCATTTTTTTCAATTTTCGTGCTTATTCTTACCTTGAAAAAAAGAGCCTTTTTTTCTGATTTTTTTAACATTTCTTGATTTTCAAAGATTTTCTACAGCTTCGAACTATATAACTTTTTACAAAAAGTCCCTTTTTATTCAATCTTTCTTATAAAACCTGATTTTTCCCCTGAAATAAAGCCTTTTATTCTAATTTTTTTCTGAGTATTTCTTGATTTTTAAAAGATTCCTACAGCTTTGAACTCCATAATTTTTTTCGAAGAAATCCATTTTTTTCTCATAATTCTGCAAAAAAACCTGATTTTTTTACCTTTGAAAGCCTTTTTCTGAATTTTCTGATTAACTAACGATTTTTTTATAGTATATTCAGAACATAACTTCATTTTTTTCTCTTATTTTCTAAAAAAACGTTTCTTCTAAAAAGTTTTACCTTGAAATAAACCTTATACTGATTCCTGAACTCTTTTGATTTTTTTTTAACTGATTAAATTTTTTTCTTGACCCTTCTGATTTTTTTTTTGCTTATTGAAGCATTTCTACAGCTTTGAAATCAATATTTTTTTTTCTGAAAAATTCAATTTTTACCTTGATATGAAGCCTTTTTCCCGACTTTTCTGAATGTTACCTGCTTTTTAAAGGATTTTTTGAAGCTTCAAACTCTATTTTTCTTCATCCCTTCAAAAAAAGCCTTATTCTCACCTGGACATGAAGCCTTTCTCCTGGTCGATGTTGAATAACCGACAGACGGCCAGGCAGACATGCGTCGTGTTACTTTTGACCAAGGGACATTGCATACAGCGATTGAACCATTTTCGGAGGCTAGAAATATGAAGAATTTCAATTCCTGAACGGATTTCGGAGATCTAGATCCAATAAAAGTCCTTTACAAAACATTAAAATTCATAATTTTCTCCGTCTTAACCAAAGACACACTTACAGTGGATGTCGTAATTCTTTGTGGTTGGGATTTTTCTAAAAATTGGCCAGAATACCCTACAAAATATTAGAAAAAGATCCTGAAAGTCTCAACCTTCTCAACTTCCTAATTTTCGAGAAAGAATGGCTTAAAGCCCCTAAAAACCTATTATAGTCAATGTTTCCCGACTTGAAAGGCGAGGGAGGCGGGGCGAGGGGCGGGACGCGTAGCGTGTGCGTTCGCGGTTCTTGGCACGAGTTCAATTCAATTGCCTATTTAACACACGTTCTCTGAGATTGAAATTTGACTAGGCGGCTATTTTTCCCATACTCACAAGACCCTAACACGTCGATTAAGAAAATAAAAATCCACGGCATCGGAGGTTCCTGACCAAGAAAAACACAGAAGTATCGAAAAATCGTCATTTTTCAAAATTAATCCATTTTTTTCTGGAGGAAGGAAATTTTTCCCGAAGTCGCTATCAACACGAAAAATGCTCAAAATGGCATATTCTTTGCGTTAAAGTTGGTTTGAACCGCTTTGCTCCACTAGGAAAAAAGTTAGCTTTTTATGGTATTTTCTCTACCGTAACCCTGAAAATGGGCGGAGCCTCTAAAAAACAGGTGTTATGAGCTGAAGAGGCTATGTAGTATGTCTGATAGCAAAACGAGCTCTGAATAACCAACTTGAAATTCTTGTACCAAGAGATTTTTGAAAACCTCAGAGAACGTGTGTTACCTTCAGAAACTTTTTCTGGTATGTCCAGGAAAATTCTGGTCAATTTTCTGGAAAATCCAAATCGAAAAGAGAAATGACCTCCTTTGTAAGAAATATTTATTCAATGAGTCTCAAGACAGACTTGCGGGTCAGCCCGTCATCCTACCTACCGCCCGGTCCTTTTCTAAACCGGCCCTAAGCAGGGCTTCAAGCAAAAAAGGCCCAAAAAGCGCAAAAATCTCTGCAGGGTAAAAAGCACAGTGAAATGACCTCCTTTGTAAGAAATATTTATTCAAAGAGTCTCAAAACAAACTTGCGGGTCAGCCCGTCATCCTACCTACCGCCCGGTCCTTTTCTAAACCGGCCCTAAGCAGGGCTTCAAGCAAAAAAAAGGCCCAAAAAGCGCAAAATCTCTGCAGGGTAAAAGCACAGTGAAATGACCTCCTTTGTAAGAAATATTTATTCAAAGAGTCTCAAGACAGACTTGCGGGTCAGCCCGTCATCCTACCTACCGCCCGGTCCTTTTCTAAACCGGCCCTAAGCAGGGCTTCAAGCAAAAAAAAGGCCCAAAAAGCGCAAAATCTCTGCAGGGTAAAAGCACAGTGAAATGACCTCCTTTGTAAGAAATATTTATTCAAAGAGTCTCAAAACAAACTTGCGGGTCAGCCCGTCATCCTACCTACCGCCCGGTCCTTTTCTAAACCGGCCCTAAGCAGGGCTTCAAGCAAAAAGGGCCCAAAAAAAGCGCAAAATCTCTGCAGGGGTAAAAAGCACAGTGAAATGACCTCCTTTGTAAGAAATATTTATTCAAAGAGTCTCAAGACAGACTTGCGGGTCAGCCCGTCATCCTACCTACCGCCCGGTCCTTTTTCTAAACCGGCCCTAAGCAGGGCTTCAAGCAAAAAAAGGCCCAAAAAGCGCAAAAATCTCTGCAGGGGTAAAAAGCACAGTGAAATGACCTCCTTTGTAAGAAATATTTATTCAAAGAGTCTCAAAACAAACTTGCGGGTCAGCCCGTCATCCTACCTACCGCCCGGTCCTTTTTCTAAACCGGCCCTAAGCAGGGCTTCAAGCAAAAAAGGCCCAAAAAAAGCGCAAAATCTCTGCAGGGTAAAAAGCACAGTGAAATGACCTCCTTTGTAAGAAATATTTATTCAAAGAGTCTCAAAACAAACTTGCGGGTCGGCCCGTCAGCCTACCTACCGCCCGGTCCTTCTTTGAGAGCCCGACCCGGGCCGGCCCTAAGCACAGCTTCAAGCAAAAAAAGGCCCAAAAGTGCAAAATTTCTCCAGGGTAACTATCAAACTTTTCCAGAGCAAAATCATTTTTTTCCAATTTTAAAAATTCTGAAAGGGGCTGGGCCAAGCCCAAGCAGGCTTTCACGGAAAAGGGAGGCCCTGAAGTGGCCCGCCGGGCCAGAACGCCTGGGCAAAGCGAACCTCGGCCCAAAATGTGTTCCAGGGCACCTTTTCCGGTCAAAGTTTCGATAAAAACCAATTTCCTACCATTTCCCCCTCACCTCATCCAATAAACCGGCTTTCGTCTATCATTTTCCTCCTTTTTCTCCAAGACCGGCTGAAATTCCGTTGAAGACTCGATAATTGTCGATTTCGGCTCGATTTGTTGGTTTTCCACGGGTTCTTGTGGCTGAAAGAAGCTTACTTTTTCGAAAAACATTGAAAAAAACCTTGAAAGTCTCCTTTTGAACGGGCGGAACAACATCATGGGTGCTGATCATTCGGACGGCGGCTTCCTTGAGAAAAAAATTGCATCAAAAAAACTTGAAAAATTATGATGAGAAATAGAATGAAAATATATTGGAATGCTTTTTTTAAATATAAAAATATATTTTTCGCCTCAAAGCCGCAATCTTTCAAAAAATATCTACAGTATCCCCTCGAAGTCCAAAACCACTACGCCTCAAGACCCTCCTTTTAAAGATTACATTTTTATGAACTCATGTCAAAAACGTTTCTCAGCCGTATTATCTAAAAATACAGAAAGATTAACCAATAAAAAACCTCAAGGACCCATTTTTTATGGAGTTCATGCGAAAAAAAAGTTTTTCAGCCGCTTAATTTTATAAATATCTACAACAACCTTTCAAATTTTTTCACTATCCTACTCCAATACTTGTTGATTTGACTTAGGTTATTTCAATGAATTCGAACCCATGGATTACTTTTTCGAAAAAAAGTTCAAATCGAATAATTTGAATAATTTGAAATAATCCGTCGAAAAATCCCAAAAAAATCATTTTGAAAAACAATTTTTTTCCGTTTAAAAAAATTTATAAAAAAATGTTATTGAACCACTTTTTTTCCTCCAAAAACTCAAGAAAAAAATTTCAAGTTTTTTTATCAATAGAGAGATTTACAGTAACCCATCTACAGTCGCCAATAACTCTATTCGAGACCCATTTCTAGCTCTTTCTGAGATCATCCAGCAAAAAAAGCAAAGCAAAAAAATATATATATATATATATATATATATATATATTATTATTTTTTTGCTGGATGATCTCAGAAAAGAGCTAGAAATGGGTCTCGAAATAGAACTGTTATATATATATATATATATATATATAACAGTAACCCATCAGAAATCCGCAAAAAAATATCTTCAAAAAAATTATTCAGAAGAAATTCCAAAAATTTTTTTCTATAACAAAAAAATATACAGTAACCCTAACGAAACACCCAAAAAAATAGCTCCGAGACCCATATTTTCACCTCTTTTTCGCATTTATCCGCTAAAGAATTGAGATTACTGACAAAACCTTCTTTAAAAACTAATTAATAAGGAAATTTGAAGGTGTTGTCTCAGTTCAGGAGCCTACAGTGACCCAAAATAAATCGCTTCAAGACCCATTGTATTACCTCTTTCTGACGTTCATTCAAAAATTATACAGTGAAACATCCAAAATTTGCAAAAACTGTTTCCTCCAAAAATGCTTCTTAAGGGATTTTAAAGTTTCGGTCCTAACTTGAGAGCCTACAGTAACCCAGAATAAATCGCTCCGAGACCCATATTCTCACCTCTTTCTCATATTCATCGGCGATCGTCGTCCCCATCACATTCACCACGGAGACGATACAGTAGTGCTCTTTCCCATAGTGAGAATTGAAGGTTATCTGAAAAAAATCAATTTTTTTCCCATGAAAAAAATTATATATTTTTACCTTGACGAACTTGGCGTATTGATTAATGTCGGGGACATTGAAAGATTGAATTTTTCGGATATCTTGGAGTTCGAAAGAGCCCAGGGATGTCCATTCTGTGGGCGGGAATCGTTCGGCGATGAAAAACACTCACCTAAAAAAATATTTATATGTTTTTTTAAAACTTTTTTTATTTCTCAAAAAGTTTTTTTCTCGTTGTTTTTTTGATAACTGTAAAGCTTGAAAAATTTTTTTCCAAAGGTTAAAAAAAAATCCTTTTTCAAGCTCAAATATCGAAAAACTGGGATAAAATACTTGAAATTTCAATCAGACCCCTGAAAATAAATCCTTGGAAGTATTCTTGTTGTTTCTTGATAACTAAAAAGCTCGAAAATTCATTTCAAAAAAATCAAAAAAATCCTTTTTTTCAAGCTCAAAAAAATCGAAAAAAATATGTTAAAAAAACTTGAACTCATAACCAAATTCCTAAACATAAATTTCTTTCTTGTTTTTGTTAGCTAAAAGCTTTAATAATCCCTCCTTAAATGAAAAAACCTCTTTGATCTCAAAAATTGTAAAATTGGGTTACCAAACTGAATTCTACCCTCAAAAAATCGAAAAAAAGATCCTCAAACTTCTTTTTGTTTTCTAGAGCTCAGATCTTCATTAAAAAGATTGAAAAAACCAAAAAATTGGATGAAAAAACCAAGAATGTATTATTATACCTTCTTCGAAAAATAAATTCTCCTTTTTTCGGGCTAAATTTGATAAAATCTCGAAATATTTCATCTCAGAAACTACACAAAAAAGATTAAACTGGAGCCCGTTTTTTCAACTCAAATCTACGATTTTTCAGAGAAAAACGTAAAAATACTTTATAAACTCACATCTTTGGGTCTCGAAGAGAAAAGTTCAAAATTGGCGATCGAGACTTTTTGAATCTGAAAGCATCAAAAATCAATATGGCAATGATAAAAATCGAAGTTCAACCTGAATCGATTCGCAAAGTTCAATAACGATAAACTTTTCTTTGGCCTGTTCACAAGGGTTCCGCAAATAATCGTCCACGTCCTAAAATAAAGATTTGTTTTTTATACATTAAAATTAGGTTCAGGAGAAAAATTACTTCGAAAAAAGGAATTAATAAAGTTTCGTAAAAAATATAAATTTCCACTTCTTGAGATTTTTCGAACTGTACCTACTTGAATTTGAGCTTTAAAACAAAAAATTCAAAAGGAATCATGCGTCAATTTTTTTCGGAAAATGCTATAAAAAAATAATGAAATCTCATAAAAATCGTTTGATAAAGGAAATTAACGTCATAAAACGTCCTAAAAAAATTTATATTCATGAAAATATGCAGAAAAAAATGAGCTTAAAAAAACTTCCGAAAGGTAAAACTTGGTATTTCAAAAAGTTTATTAAAATTCGATTTTTTTCTGAAAAAAACTTTATGATCCATGAAGATTTTGTAATAGAACCTTCACTGCCAAAGTCGGAAGTGCGGAAAACGGGTGCAAAAAGGGAGTGACTGCAAAATGGCCGCTAAAAGGGTCCCTTTTTACGGCCTTTATTGAGCCTTTCATTTTTTCTGGGTTAAAAAGGGTCATAAAAGGGCGAAAAAAGGGAGAGGCCGCGAAAAGGGTGAAGAAAGAGTGGGGGTTCAAAAAGGTTCTGAAAGTCTCTGTTATTGATGATTCCCGATGTTATTACTGTAGCTTATTTCGGTTCATACGCGGTCACTTGTAAAGATTATTCTCAATTTAAAAATTGTATTTCTCAAAAAGGGTCCAAAAAAAGGGTGGATGAAGGCCGATGAAAGGACGCAAAAAGGCAGTAAAAAAAGGAAACCGTTTAGGAACAATTTCCGGAAACAGACGGATCCGTAACGGACGCTCAAAGGGCCCGTGAAGGGTCATTCCGACTTTGCCTATGTTAGCATACCGAGATTTTCGGAAAATTTGCAAATATTTTCCGAAAAATGAATTTTTAGATCTTGCCTCTGAATCCTATGAAAAAAATGGTTAATTTCATACGAGAAAAAACTTTTTTTTGAATGGAACCATATAGTCAATGTTTCCCGACTTGAAAGGCGAGGGAGGCGGGGCAAGGGGCGGGACGCGTAGCGTGTGCGTACGCGGTTCTTGGCGCCAGTTCAATTCAATCGCCGCCGACTATTTAAAAAAAGCTCGGCCACCGCTCTTTTTTTCTGTATTTTTCTTCTATTTTTTTGATGCACACATGAACATAATCAATAAATAATAAAAAACAAGTGAAAAAGAGCAATAAATAAAGCTCTCTGAATGCTCGCTAGCGGTTGAATTGAACACGTGCCAAGAACCGCGTACGCACACGATACGCGTCCCGCTCCTTGCCACGCCTCCCACGCCTTTCAAGTCGGGAAACATTGACTATACTATTACCGGGATTTTCGGAAAAACTTTCATACATACTACAAAAAAATGATTTTTTTCGATTTTACCTTTGATTCCCATAGAAAAGACGGGTTTTTCATCAACAAAAACATATTTTTTTCGAAAAAAATTCCGTTCTGACAAAATTTTAATAGAGCCTTATCATCCGCGGGAGTGTTCCATACATTTTTTTAATTCAAAAATTCAGATTATAAGCATAAATCCTCTGAAAAAAATGTAAATTAACAACTTACGCAACGAGATTTTATATAACCTTACCATTACTGGGATTCGAAATTTTTTTATATTTTTCTTCAAAAATCGCATTTTCTCAAAAATCGCAAAATCGCATAACCCTTTAAAAAAAGGCAGATTTTCAATAAAAAAATTTTTCGTTTTTTTGCAACAAAAAAACTGTAACGGAACCTTGTCATTGACGACGGCCTTGGCATTTTCCGACTCGGATTCGAAGAAATGACTTTGGCGCCACATTCCTTGCTGGCAAAGTTCCTGGAAGGTTCCGCGGCTTGATTCGCCGTCGGCGGCACTTTCAATCCGGTGTTTTTCACGTTGGCTGTCTGGAAAATGATAAAAAAATATGTAGAAGTCAATAATAAACTGTTGAGAAATTCTTGTGGAACTTGAAAATGCGAAAAAAATTGAACTATTCGAAAAAAAAGCTCGTTTCGAAAAATCCGTGTAATCATCATGGAAAAAATTTTTTTTTCCGCTTAAATCATCTATTTGATCTCTTGGAACACTGTATCAAACACATTTGGTTTTTTTAATTTAGTCAAAATATTTCAAAAATCCATAAAAAAGTCAGGAAAAAAATCCCTAAAAACCGAAAAAAAATGATAAATTTCGAAATTATCAGATAGAAATTGACTACTTAAAAATCAATAAAAAGCCATTTTTCACCCATCTTTTTTTCTTTTATAAACTTCTAAGACTTTTTTCAAAAATCTAACTTTAAGAAAAGCGAAAAAAATCGATTTTTCCAGAAAATCCCTAAAAAAACGAGAAATTTACATAATCCTAGCCAATCTCACAATGAAAAAAAACGCGAATTTCAACAAAAATATTCCAAAAAAATGTGTTCAAAGTGTACTAGAACAAAAAATAACTGAAAAAACAAAATATTCAGGAAAAAAAAAAGTTAAAAATGATTTTCGAAACAAACCGCCTGCAAATGGGCTGCATCCCGTCGTTTTTTTGGTCCATTCATCGAAAGATTCGATCGGTTTTGTTGGTTCTAAATGAGAAAAAAACGTTCAAAAAAATACAGAATACATAAAAAAATAATGAAATACGCTCAAAAAAATGACTAGAAAAAATTTTTTTTCGCGGAAAAAAACGAACCTTTTTCCTCCCGTTTCTGGGCCTCGCTGAAATTTGCATTTTCATTGAAGGAAATTGTCGAATTTTTTTCCTGAAAAATTGCCTTTTTGCAAGATAAATGTATAAATAACTTAAATATGAAGAAATTCAGGAAAAAAACCTTGAAAAATTCGAAAAAAATTTACCTTGAAACAAATTTTTTTAATTTTCAACTTTGATACGTTTTTTTCATTCATACACATCTCAAAGTCAAAGCAAAACAATCAAAAAAGCATTTTTGACCTTTAACGAAATTATTTTTATCAAAATCACCACGAAAAACTCGATAAAAACCTGATTTTCCCTGTCAAAATCGCCTGCGATCCGTTTGACGGCCCAATATCGCAAACTAATCGACTGAAAACCTCTTTTTTCCTAATTTCCAACTGATTTTCCAATTTACCTGTTCCTCCTCAACCCGAAAAGTTCAAAAGGTTCATATAAAGAAACCGAGGCGTTGCAAAAAACCAGCGGAAGCAATAATAAGGCTCTAAAGTTCATTTTCTTTTCTCTTTTTACATTTCCTTTGGAAACTCACTGAATAAGATGTAAATTCATAGTTTCGATTATATAAATTGAGCTTTCAAAACCAATAATGTGACGCGTATTATAATGATGGCATATGATCTGAAATCAAAATATTTTTTCGCGAATTTATTATCGTTATTCCTGCGATTTCGATCGATGATACATAAATCAAAGGCCTCCTAATACGCGTAAGACATCTGGAAAATCAACGATATGCGAGAAAAGACATAAAAATCCGCGAAAACCATAAAAAGGACGAAATTTATTGGCGCTCGCGTAAATTTACACGTCGCGCAAGTGAGTGCAGACCTCTGCGGGAGAGTTGGTTACCGTAAGACTGGAAAATGAGTTGGGCGAACTTTTCAGGCGGTTTCGACGGTTTGAAGAGAGAAAACTCGCAACATTACACACTCGGAATCATAAGACAGATAAAAAAGAACGGTCAGCGGGCAAAAACTGCGTGCCGGTGTCGTTAAACTACACGTCAACGCACTCAAAGGGTCACGTTTTTTTATTACTCCATAAATAGCTGGGAAAATAAACAAACAAGATGCTTTCTGTTTCATTGATTGGAAGGGAAAAAAACGTCATGGAAAATAAGAAATATATTAGGAAATTATTTTTGAAACTGTTATCTTATCAGTTTGATTTATGGGGGTTACTGTTTTTTTCCAAAAAGTTCCTTGTTTATTTCTCGAAAATTTGGGTTTATTGAACCAAAATATTAAAAAAATAACTAAATCGGTTTTGAAAAGTTGAAGCTTAACAAAAAAAAAAATCAAAAAAAAATTAAAAATTTTGAGACTTTCTACATGCGACCATATCCGTCATAAACATGAAAAAATGAAAGAAATAAAAATTTTCAGTGAAACGGGAAATAACTATTTCCATGAATCGAGCGAAAAGCTGGAAAATTTATTGTTTAAACAGCACCCGAGCAAATATGTACAGACAAACAATCAAAAAAAGAATCAACAGGAACAAAAATAAGTTAGAAAATGTAAATGAAAAGTATGAGAATATTTAGATACAAAGATTAAGTTATAAGTTATCAATAAATAAAAATAAAAAAATTCTGAAAAAAATCTATCAATGAAAAAAATATATGAAAAAAATGATTTTTTTGTACATTTTCAAACGGAGATTTTTATAATAGACGGTGAAAAAAATATTTTTTTATGAAAAATTTTTGAATCATCTCAAAAAAGAGCTTTTGAATAAGGTTAAAAAAATCGAAAAATGATTAAAAAAATGGATCAAGACCTAAATTTGGCCCTGAGACCATTTTTTTAAGCAATCTGATGGTCCTTTAAAAGTAAAAAAAAATATTCTCTCTTTGAAAAAAATCAAGATAAGTTTCCAACAAGGAAATAAAGTTAGTCACAACGGTTCTGCAGCTGATTCAGAAGAAAAAAAATTTTTTCGCGCCAGGACCATTAAAAAAATCCCCTCATGCTCCTTTAAAAAAAAATGATAAAAAACTGGTAAGAAACTATGTCAAAAAAGCGCAGAACTATCTAAATATTGCTTGAACCAGAAAAATGATCATTTTCGCGACATAACCATTTAAAAAATCACCTCATGCTCCTTTAAGAAAAATCAAAAATTTGGGGAAACGGGGAGAAAAAAGTTTCAATGCTTCCAATAGAAAAATGATTACTTTCGCGCCAGGACCATCAATGAAAAAGGGATTTTGACAAGGAAATAAATTCTACCACTCAGAAAATCGACAAATTCTTTCAAAAAATGACCAAAAAAGAGATGTCAAACAAGGAAATGAATTCTAATATCGGTTCCAATGCTGCTGTTGGGCATTTTGCTGCTGGGCCTGCTGTTGCTGGATGACGAATTGTTGATTGGCGGCCGGGTGCATCGCCGGGTGCATTCCACCTTGAAATTCAATTAAAAAAACTATTTTTTTCCCATGATTGTGAGTCATAAAAAAATCTTTTTCTTTTTTTGGAGCCTCTTTGCTGCCTTTTTGCAGCCTTTTTGGAGCCTTTTTGGAGCCTTTTTGCTGCCCTTTTGCGGCTTTTTGCGGCCTTTTCGCGACCTTTTTGCTGCCTTTTTGGAGCCTTTTTGGAGCCTTTTTGCTGCCTTTTTGCTACCGTTTTGCGGCCTTAAGGCTCCCCTAGAGGGGCCACTTTTTTTTTGCAAGCTTTAGTACCTCGAAAGGAAAAGCGATCCCTAAAGGGAAATCTAGAAGCCCCTTGCCCTATAGTGACCACTCTGGAGTTCCTAAGGGCGCACAATTTTCAGCTTATCACGGCCATTATTAAACGCCTATAAATTATAAAAGTTCAAAAAAGTTCAAGGTTAAAAAAAGAAAAATTCAATTCCCCACACAGCCAAAGATCACTGAAACAGCTGTCAAGTCAAACAAAAGTCGTAAAAAAAGAAGAAAGAATCGCGAGGAAACTAAACAAGCAGTGGGTTTGTTGAAAAAAATGAGGACTAGAAAGAAGGAAAAAAACTGGAAAAAAACTTGAACTTATTTAAAAAAATGTTTCATTTAAAAAAACTGAAAAAAATTGAAATTTTTCCCACCATATCTCCCATTTGAATTCAAAAAAATCCCAAAATTTTAAATTTTTGAACTTGAAATAATACTTCAGAAAAATTATTTTTTTCTATATTTTCTTTTTTTGGAGCTTAGAATCTCATAAAATTGTCCTAATTTTTGTTTCAAAAAATTCTGAGAACCCAATTTTTTTGTTCGAAAACGCTTGAAACTTTATTTTAAGAATTTTTTTCAGCCAACTTTTTTTCACATTTTCAAGCAAAAAAATTGAATTAGATTTAGTCAAAAAAATATTTTTTTGGAAAACTTTTAAAAGCACTTATAAATGCGAGGAAAAATCGCCAAAAAAACGTGTCAAAAATCCAGAAAAAAATAGTCTCAAAAAGATTCCAATTCAAGCCCAGCCCTGCGCCTTTAATAACCCTAATCGACGTCGAATGAGCCAAACAATAATTTCGTTTAAAAAAAGTCGGTCATTAATAAAAAAATGTTATAAAACGCTCTAAAATATAATATTTGAATGCTGTTGATTTTTTTCTAAAACTCCATTATTTTATTAGCGCGTTGGCAAAGGCTATTTTTAAAAAAATAAAACCTTCTTTTTTTCGCTTTTTCAAAAAATTTCTGTATCCGTGATCCTATTTATAACAGTTATTTCCCCAAAAATCAACTCAAAAAAACTTTAAAAAAATATTTTTTTAAGTACCTTGTGGCGGGAATGGCTGTCCGGGCCTGAGCATCATACCCGGCTGTCCAGGGATCATATCTGAACAAAAATTTCAATCAATCAATATTTCTAAAAAGAAACGAACTCATTTGATGTGGGGGCATCCCCGGCTGCATCATTCCCATTTGTCCGGGAGCCTGAAAAATTTTAAATTTTTTTGGCGATTTTTGAATATTTTCAGGCTTTTTTTCAAGATCAGCTCGTTTAAATTATAATTTTACTTCTAAACATTCTATCTAAAAAGTGAAATTAAAAAGGTTTCACGAAAAAAACAGGATTAGACCCTGAAAAAAGCTACAAAATTGACCTAAATTCTTCAAAAAACGAGAAATTTTAACTTTTCTCTGCACTCTCTCAGGTTCAAGTGTTTTTATCCCTTTTCTATGACCTCCTAGGTGAGAGAAAAAGCTAGAGATCACTGGCAAACAAGAGAGCAGCTAGAGAAAAAGAAAAAATCTGCCCTCTCATTTTTGAACGCTCTCTAACTTTCAGAGATTTCGCGCTTAAAAAATATTCCAAGCTAGAGAGCACTGGTGAACAAGAGTGCGGTTAGAGAAAAAGAGAAAAACTGTCCTCTCATTTTTGAGCGCTCTCTAATTGTCGAAAATGCGTTAAGAAATCCGTTTTCTGATCATTTTCTCTCTAAAAAAAGATTCCTACCTAAAAATAAATTGAATTTCAAAAATCCGTTTGAATATATTTCAAGTTAGAGAGTATTGGCAAACAAGAGCGCGGTTAGAGAAAAAGAGAAAACCTGCCCTCTCATTTTTGAACGCTCTCTAACTATCGAAGATGCGTTAAAAAATCCGTTTTCTGATCATTTTCTGTCTAAAAAAAGATTCCTACTTGAAATAAATTCGAATTTCAAAATCTGTTTATATATACCAAGCTAGAGAGCACTGGTAAATAAAAGAGCGGTTAGAGAAAAAGAACAAACCTGCCCTCTCATTTCTGAGCGCTCTCTAACTATCGAAGATACTGAGCTCTCAAAAAAGGGTTTCTGACCGAAAAGAGCTCTAGTTGACATAAATTAAATTAAACTTCAAAATCCGTTCGAATATTCCGAGCTAGAGAGCACTGGTAAACAAGAGGGAGGTTAGAGAAAAAAAAAACCTCATACTCTCTCATTTTTGATCGCTCTCTAACTTTCGGGGATTTCGCGCTTAAAAAATATTTCAAGCTAGAGAGCACTGGTAAATAAGAGAGCGGTTAGAGAAAAAGAGAAAACCTGCCCTCTCATTTTTGAACGCTCTCTAACTATCGAAGATGCGTTAAAAAAATCCGTTTTATATATTTTTTTCTCCAAAACGAGAATTTTTCGATATTCAATTCAATCCTTTAAAAAAATCCTTGTAAATAATGTTTCAGTATTTTCTTAAGAGAACCTTTGAAATGATTATATTCTCGATTTTTTTGGGTTTACGGTTCACAATGAATTTTTTTCAACTATCCCGATTCAAAAAAACCAAAAGAAACCGCAAAAACGGCGGGATGATATCCCTGCATCATTCCGGGCTGTTGCATTCCAGCATGAGGCTGGTGATATTCCGGAGCCGCCACGAACATTCCCGCCACCGTCGTTCCGGGCATTTGCATCTGAAAAATTTATTTTTACTTCATTCCCCTTCCGACTAGGGAACGTTTTAAACCCCCCTTACTTTGTAACTTTCGATGAAACTTCGCTGAAGTGTACTTTAGGACCTCCTGATTCCAGATCTTCAAATAGATCTTTGTTTTCGAGTTATGGAGCTCCAAAGTCCGCAAAATACGCAAATTATGACCAAAAACGCTATTTCAAGCTTCATAACTCGAAAAACAAGATCTATTGCGAGAAATTTTCTTCTTATTCTGCAATAAGAAGGTTCTAAAGAACACTTCAGCGATGTTTCCTCAGAATTCAACCGGTGGGTTAAAAAAAGTTTCCTAGTGAACATTATTTATGTTTAAATTCTACCTAAAAACTCGTCCGAAACCAGCCCGTTTCTACTGCTGGAACAACACAAAAATGTCAGAATTTTTTTGAAAAAGTGATATAGAACAAAAACTTTTTAAAAACTTGTGATCTCGAACTTCCCTTCTCACTGGGGAATTGTGTCAGGTGATTCAAACTTCTGTGGAAGGAGGTCTCAGGTATGAGTAATCAAAAATAGAAAAAATAATTGGCTTAGCGCCATAGGTACTGAAAAATAGTTTGTCGAAAAAGAACTCTTTTCGATTTTTTTTTTAAAAATTTCTTTCTCGTGTTTCTTATGATATAGTGGATAACAGTAGGCGTTTTAAAAATCGAAAAACCAAAGAAAGTTGAGCCTTTTTCGTACCTTTTCGACAGGCTATTTCTCGGTACCCTATGGCTCTTACACGTTAGCAGATATTGATCTTTATTTTCGAGTTATTTGAAAAAAATGATCTTTTTGAGGAGTAGAGACGAAATTTGTGGTCAGGGTTTTCTGAAGTACCTTCTCGCAAATTTACAGGAAAATCTCAAAAGTTTTGACTTCGAACTTTCCTTGGAGAGACCTAGCTTTGATAAAGGGAAAATCTCTACCAAAAAGGACATTTTTTCCAACTTTTCTAGTATGATTCCCGGATTAACCTGCGCATTGAGCCGCATCATTTTGTTGGCCGGTTCATCGAGGCTTCCAGTTATTTGGGGATGAGTGTTGTGTTGTTGGCTGTGCTCGTCGACGCCCATCAACATCGACTTTTTGTTCTCGCTCTCCGGTAGGTACTCCTTTTTAGGGTAGGGGATCGGATTCTTGTCGAAAACGTCGTCCGTCGGCTTCGGATCTTGCTGGAAACGAGAAAAATCCATTGTTCTATGGAAAGCTTCTCTGCGTCTCCTTCTTTCACGTATTCTCTGGTTTATGAAATTTTTTCGGGTTTTTTTGAATATCTAAAAACACTTAATAAGGTATTTTTGGATCTTTAAAAAAACATTAAAAAAATTACTTGGAACCTCTAAAACCACTTAAGAAGATACTTGAGACCTCTAAAACCACTTAAAAAGATACTTGAGACCTCTAAAAATCACTTAAAAAAATTACTTTGAACCTCTAAAATTCCTTAAGAAGATACTTCGGACCTCTAAAATCACTCATAAAAGTACTTGGAACCTCAAAATCTCTTAAAATGGTACTGGGAACCTTTAAAATCACTCAAAAAGGTACTTTGAACTTCTCAAAACACTAATAAAGTTACCTTGAAGCTCTAAAACCCTTAAAAAACACTTTGAACATTAAAAAACGCTTAAAGAGATACTTTGAACCTTAAAAAATTCTTGAAAAGCCCTTCTAGACCTCTAAAATCACTCAAAAAGGTACTTGGAACCTTTAAAACCACTTAAGAAGATACTTAGAACCTTTAAAATCCCTTAAGAAGATACTGGAACCTCTAAAAAAACACTCAAGAAGACCCTTGGAATCTTTAAAATCCCTTAAGAAAATACTTGAGACTTTTAAAAATCCCTTAAAAAAATACTTAGGACCTCTAAAATCACTCAAAAAGGTACTTGGAACCTTTAAAAACCACTTAAGAAGATACTTAGAACCTTTAAAAATCCTTAAGAAGATACTGGAACCTCTAAAAAAACACTCAAGAAGACCCTTGGAATCTTTAAAATCCCTTTAAGAAAAATACTTGAGACTTTTAAAAATCCCTTAAAAAAATACTTAGGACCTCTAAAATCACTCAAAAAGGTACTTGGAACCTTTAAAACCACTTAAGAAGATACTTAGAACCTTTAAAATCCCTTAAGAAGATACTGGAACCTCTAAAAACACTCAAGAAGACCCTTGGAATCTTTAAAATCCCTTAAGAAAATACTTAGGACTTCTAAAACCACTTAAGAAGATACTTAGAACCTCTAAAAATCACTCAAAAAGGTACTTGGAACCTTTTAAAAACCACTTAAGAAGATACTTAGAACCTTTAAAATCCCTTAAGAAAAATACTGGAACCTCTAAAAACACTCAAGAAGACCCTTGGAATCTTTAAAATCCCTTAAGAAAAATACTTGAGACTTTTTAAAATCCCTTATACTTAGGACCTCTAAAATCACTCAAAAAGGTACTTGGAACCTTTAAAAACCACTTAAGAAGATACTTAGAACCTTTAAAAATCCCTTAAGAAGATACTGGAACCTCTAAAAACACTCAAAGAAGACCCTTGGAATCTTTAAAATCCCTTAAGAAAAATACTTGAGACTTTTAAAATCCCTTATACTTAGGACCTCTAAAATCACTCAAAAAGGTACTTGGAACCTTTAAAACCACTTAAGAAGATACTTAGAACCTTTAAAATCCCTTAAGAAGATACTGGAACCTCTAAAAACACTCAAGAAGACCCTTGGAATCTTTAAAATCCCTTAAGAAAATACTTGAGACTTTTAAAATCCCTTAAAAAAATACTTAGGACCTCTAAAATCACTCAAAAAGGTACTTGGAACCTTTAAAAAACCACTTAAGAAGATACTTAGAACCTTTAAAAATCCCTTTAAGAAGATACTGGAACCTCTAAAAACACTCAAGAAGACCCTTGGAATCTTTAAAATCCCTTAAGAAAATACTTGAGACTTTTAAAATCCCTTAAAAATACTTAGGACCTCTAAAATCACTCAAAAGGTACTTGGAACCTTTAAAAACCACTTAAGAAGATACTTAGAACCTTTAAAATCCCTTAAGAAGATACTGGAACCTCTAAAAAAACACTCAAGAAGACCCTTGGAATCTTTAAAATCCCTTAAGAAAAATACTTAGGACTTCTAAAACCACTTAAGAAGATACTTAGAACCTCTAAAATCACTCAAAAAGGTACTTGGAACCTTTAAAACCACTTAAGAAGGCCCTTAGGATCTCTAAAATCTCTTAGAAAGGTACCTTGAACCAGAGATCATCCAAGGCGTCTTTGCAGGAGACCCTTTTCGTCGGGTCCATGCACAGAAGTCGCTGGAGGAGCTTCAATTGTTCGGCCTGATTTTCGATTTTGAACTTCTCCATGTATCTGGCCACTGAGGAGTTGTTGAACTGGTTCGCCGACCTGAAAATGGGTGGGCGTGGCTTACTGCAATCGCGGCACGGTTCTTTTGCAATCGCGGCACGGTTCTTTCTTTTACAATAGGGGCACGGTATTGAGAGCCGCATGTTACGGATTTATCAAATGCAGTTTCGAATGGAAAAAAAAATCGAATATATCGAATACAAAGTCTATTCGACAGAAATTAGAATATTCAAAAATTTAGTCCTTTTTCACTTTTAGAGGTTATTTCGAATTTTTTTCGGAATAATTTTTACTTAAATGGTCAATGGGCGTGGCTTACTGCAATCGCGGCACGGTTCTTTTTGCAACAGGGGCGCGGTTATAAGAGTTAAATTTCGTGGGTTTATTGGTTTAAAAAATGTTTTTAAGTTTTTGAAAATCTTTCATGTATTTTAAATAAAAATTAATATATTAAAAATAAAAAAAGGACAAAATAGCTTCTGAAAAATAAAAATACTTCGCAAAACGTCGAAATTTCAAAAATAAATGAATTACTCTTAAAAATCTTTTGCCGAGGCATAAAAAGAAAAAAATCCAAACGAACCCATCACTGCGGACGTCGGTTTGCAACCGATTAAAATCGGGCATTTTTTTCATATCCGGCCAATCGGCGTCCGTCGGATAGCCCATCACGTGGAATATTCTGAAAAAAATAGTTTTTAATAACTTTCAACTCTTTTACTGTTTCACAGAAATAACTTGAGATAAAAACAAAAAAATCATAATACTTCGGTGTCTTCGGCCGCATGCTGGAAAGTGCGCGCTGTGCGCACTCTTTTCTCGTGCGCACGTAAGGAAAATGCGCACTCTTTTTTCAAATTTTGTACAGGAAATTGCGCTCTCTTTCTAACATCAGGAAAATGCGCACGGTTATCAAATTGCGCTTTTTTCTAGATTGAAGTCCACATAAACCATCTCACTTTTCTCTTTGTCATGAAGAAATCTTTCAGCTAAAGATGAATTGAACATCTTTTGATTATTTGATAATTTATGGAGAATATTTCTTATCAGGAATGGTCTGCGGTCACTTCGGAATGAGACCAGGTGTAGTTATGCAAAAAGTGAGATGCTCTCTTTTGAGACCAAGCTGATTCCAAGCTTGGTCTCAAAAGCTGCCGCGAAAATCTGCTAAAAAGTGAGATGCTCTCAAAATATACAGATCTTTTCCATCTGATAACATTAAACAATACAGAGTGGAGGAATAATTACTGCGACAAAAGTTTTTTAGCATTTGCTCTCGCCGACCCGAGCTCATTTTTGTTCCAGTCATTATTCCTACCTTCATCAAGCCTTCTTCTATAATATGATGATGCCACGCTGACTTTCGGAAAAGTCGTTTCTGCCTTTTGGGCGTTTATGGCAAGGCAGGCAGGCTTGGCTATGAAGGCCTAAAGCCCCCTAGGACTTGATTTTTTTTAATTTCGAAAAAAAAGCGCGGGCTCGGGCCAGAGATTCAAGAAACTTTTTTATTTCATTAAAAACATTTTCACCGAAAAAATATTTTTACATGTTGAATCACATTTTTTAATAACTCAATGAAGAAAAATAAGCAAAAACCCCGCTTTTCTCGTTAAAACAGCTAAAAAAATTCGAAATGAAGAAAAATTTGAGCTTTTTTTGGGCCGGGCCGAACCACCAAAAAATTTTTTCAGTGATTTTTACAGCCAAGTACAACACTGGAAAAAAAAATCTTGACTCAAAGTTACTTCATTACGCATCAAGGCCGTATGAGAGGGAGTTTATTGCGACGTTCAGAAATTATTCGATAAGGTCGCCCTGAAGCTCAATTTGAACGTACTTTTAAGGTTTCGATTCTCGAAATTGATAACGATTCACGTCTATGTAAGCAATTAAAAGAAGTCGCAAAAAAAAATTGAAGGAATTGTTTTCCGAAAAATAGAGAAAAAAGGGTATCGCGAGACCCTCTGAGGCATATCGCAGGGTCTGAAGCCTATCGATGGTAACCCAAGTATACCTCTGAGGACTTTGAGCAAAATGAGATAGACTTGAGGGAGACTCTAAAGTACCTCCGAGATAGCTCAGATATAGCTAGTCTCTGTAAGAGATGAGGTCAACTCAGAGAGCAGTAAACAAGATAATTTGAAAGGTGTGTACCTTTTTTCTCAGTACCTTATGGGGTTTAGCAGATAGTATTGCCTGTTTTTAAGTACCCTTACTTACTAGGGAACTACTCGGACTCAGGGTACGCGGATCGAGTTCAAACTTTAGTGGTTTATAGACCTAAGTGAAAAACACTTGAAAAACAAGTGAGAATATCTGCTAAACCCAATAGAGAACTGAGAAAAAAATTAGTAGAAAAATGTGAAAAATTAGACCTGAAAAATTTTTCAGAATACTGCTTTTTACCTTATTTAATATTTTAATAAAATCGCCTTGAATGATCCGGCTATGATAAACACTAAAAAACTTTTTTCCAGCCAAAAGAAGGAGGAAAGCAAAAAAATTTGATAGTTTTCAAGCCTAAACTGTTCATTTTTCAAAAAAATAGTTTTTCTCAGAAGTCTATAGGATTTAGCAGATAATCTCTCTTGTTTCCAAGTACTTTTTACCCGGGTCTATAAGCCACCAAAGTTTGAACTCGATCCTTGAATGCGAGTTCGCGTAGTTCCCTAGTCAGCTCAAAACCAATTTTCGAGTCCTTATCGAAAAAAAGGTCTTATCCGGTTAGAAGAATGGAGTTTTGTGCTTTTTTTCTGTTATCCCATTGACTCCAAAAATTTTTTTGAGAAACTTCAATGTGCCTCTTGTAACAGTACACACCAGTTTGCCTACTGACTTTTTGGCCGTTCTGCTCAAAAAAACTGTGACAAAACTGATTTCGACCATCTGCGTACCGCAGTCAATTGGGTGCCACTACATTTTCGAGCGGCAGTTCATGTTAATTTTTTTGATTAAATCCCTGTAAAAACTTTATAAAAAAATAATTGTGAGTTTCCGGTCTTTATTGACTATTGACAATTGACATATTGACAGCTCCTTCATTTTGTCGCAGTAATAATTCATCACCCTGTAAATTTTTCTTCAGAAATATTTTTGAACCTCGAAAGGTCCTTTCGATTTGTATTTCACATATTTCCCTTTATAATATAGTTTGTCCATGTTTTGAGTTTCAAGCAGCAATCTCTGCCCCCAAACAAAGCCTGTGAGTGGCTCGTTCTCTGATTGGTTTGATCTACACATAAGAGGCGGAGTTCGACCGATGACTTGACATTCAAATTCTGAACAAACTATAAACGCCGACTGTGGCTTTCTTCGGAAAATAACATTCCAAAATTTAAAAAAAAAACACATTATCACGTGAAAGGTAAATCAGTCTGACCAGTCTAGTGACCGCCTGGTATTATTATTGAAAAAGATGAATTCTGAAAAATCAGTTATATCAACTTCAAATAATCCGAAAGAACAGGATTTGATAACCGTGCGCATTTTCCTGTTGTT